ACCCCAGGACTTCCCCAGTGCCACAATAGAGTTCACAGGGTCGGCAGGGTCAGGGTCATGGTAGGCCTCAAACCCTTCAAAATCCCTCTCTTGGACACAATCTGGCCACAGTTTTCTCCAAGCAGAGTTCAAAGTCCTGGAAGTCACTCCCTCCCAAGCCTTACCTATAAGGCTTATGCAGTGGAAGATAGTGAAGTGATTCCTCCAGAACTGTCTTAGGGTCAACTGAGTGTCCGAGGTCACGTCAAAGCACTTTTGAAACACTGCTTTTGTGTAGAGTTTTTTGTAGTTAGAAATGACCTGCTGGTCCATGGGCTGGAGGAGAGGAGTAGTGTTAGTAGGCAAGAGCTTCACTTTTATGAAGTTGAAGTCCCTAAACACTTGGTCTTCCAAGTCTGGAGGATGTGTAGGAGCATTGTCCAGTACCAGGAGGCACTTGAGTGGCAATTTCTTTTCCAGGAGGTATTTTTTCACGCTTGGGCCAAACACATCATTAACCTACTCTTTGAAAATTTGCCTTGTGACTCATGCTTTATGATTAGCTTTCCACATCACACACAATCTATTCTTCATGACATTGTTTCTCTTGAACACTCCGGGATTTTCTGAGTGATACACGAGTAAAGGCTTCACTTTGAAATCCCCACTAGCATTACCACACAACAAGAGTAAGCCTGTCTTTCATAGGCTTGTGTCCTGGCAGTGCCTTTTCCTCCTGGGTAGTGTAGGTCCTGTTTGGCATTTTCTTCCAAAACAGGCCTGTTTCGTCACAATTGAACACTTGTTGGGGTTCGAATCCTTCAGCCTTTACACAGTCCTGGAATTCGTGAACATATCGCTCAGCTGCACATTTGTCAGAACTTGCAGCCTCACCATGCCTTACAACATTGTGTATGCCACTATGCTTCTTAAATCTATCAAACCATCCTTTGCTTGCCCTAAATTCACAAACTGCAGCACTTGTTTCAGGCATTTTCTTTGCAAGATCCTCGTGCAACTGCTTTGCCTTCTCACAAACAATAGACTCCACAACACTGTCTCTCACTAATTTTTTTCCTTAATCCACAATAATAATAACTTTTCCATCTCTTCCATTATTCATGTCCTTTGTTTTTAGTTAGACAAGTTATCCTTTTGGCAAACATTAGCGATCTTTGGTTTTGTTCTTTCTGTTGCCAAGTGATGGATGTAATTGTTGATTTATCTGGCTGTACTCTGGGCAAGTTCCACCACCTTCATACCACCTCAAACTTTCTATCACCTCATGCTTTAATTCCATGGAGGTTTGTTCACTTTCTTTACTCACCAGGAACTTTATTAGGAACTTCTTTGGAGCCATGGTTACTTATGTATGTCACAGTTGCAGTGCAAGAAAATAGGTAGATAAATACAAATGGAGAACAAATGGATTTGTCAGTTAAAAATAGTAGAGGGAGAGTTATTTAAATGGTGAGTTAGAGGATTGGGAAGATGGAGGGATTATTTGAGGAATTGTTAATGTTGATGAAGATAGGGAAGCTGTGATTTCGTGTATAGGGCAAGGAGGAATCACATCTTGTAGGAGTGAGGAAGAGCCAGTTGTGAGTGTGGGGAAGTTCGTGTGGCAAGTAGTGTAAAATGAAAAGGGGTAAGGGCAGCCGGGATTGATGGGATAAGATAGAAAATGTTAAAAGAGGTAAGGGATATAGTTTTGGAGGTGGTTGGTGCAATTATTTTAATAAATGATATGGAGAGGGTTTAAGGTACCTAGGGATGGCAGAGAGGCATGCATAGTTCTTTGTATAAAGGCAAAAGGGGAATAAATGAGAGTGCAAATAAATTATAGGGGGATAGTCTGTTGAGTGTACCTGGTAAAGTGTATGGTAGAGTTATAATTGAAAGAATTAAGAGTAAGACGGGAGAGAATAGCGATAGCCACGATGAACAAGGAGGGCTTTAGGAAAGGTAGGGGGTGTGGTGGTCGTGTTACAGTGAAAATATAAGTGAACAGTATTTAGATAAGGCTAAGAGGTCTTAGTGTGGCATTGATGGATTTGGGAAAAGGCGTTTTGATCAGGTTGGATAGGGGGCCATTGTGGCGATGTTGAAAGTGTATGTGGTAGGAGGTAGGTTATGAAAGCAGTGAGAGTTTTTACGAGGATGTGAGCTCAAGTTAGAGTATGTAGAAAAGAGGAAATTTTTTCCAGTAAAAGTAGGGCCTTAAGACAAGGAATGTGTGATGTCACCGTGGTTGTTTAATTTTATTATAGTGGGGTTGTAAGAGAAGTAAATGCGAGGGTCTTGGCAAGAGGACGTGGAGTTAATAGATAATGAATCACACACAAGGGTGGGAGTTGTCACAGCTGCGCTTTGTGTGACACTGTGCTCTTGGGAGATTCTGAGAGAGCTGCAGGATTGGTGGATGAATTTGGTAGGTGTGCAAAAGAAGAAATTAATGGTGAATACAGGAAAGAGTAAGGTTATGAGGATAACAAAAAGATTAGGGTGATGTAAAGATTGAATATCAGATTGGAGGGAGAGAGTATGGAGGAGGTGAAGTATTCAGATATTTGGGAAGTGGGGACGTGTCAGCGGATGGGTCTATGAAAGATGAGGTGAATCATAGAATTGATGAGGGGAAAAAGAGTGAGTGGTGCACTTAGGAGTCTGTGGAGACAGGAAACTTTGTCCTTGGAGGAAAGAGGGGAATGTTGAGAGTATAGTTTTACCAACGCTCTTATATGGTGGGAAGCATGGGTGTGAATGTTGCAGCGAGGGAGTAAGGCTGGAGGCAAGTGGAGATGTTCATGTCTGAGGGCAATGTTGTGGGGTGAATATAATGCAGAGAAATTCGAGTTTGGAGTTAGGAGGAGGTGCGGGAGATTACCAAAACTGGTGTCCAGAGGGTATGCAGGATGGGTTGTTGAGGGGTGGTTCGCGACATGTAGATGAGAATGGAGCGAAAACAGAATAACTTCAAGAGTGTATCAGTTGTAGTGGAAGGAAGCGCGGGGGGTGGGGTTAGGCCTAGGAAGGGTTGGAGGGAGGGGGGTATAAGGAGGTTTGTGTATGCGAGGTAGGCGGCTTGGACTTCAGCAGGCATGCGTGAGCGTGTTTGATAGGTGTGAATGGAGACAAATGGTTTTTTAATACTTGACGTGGCTGTTGGAGTTGAGCAAAAGTAACATGTATGAAGGGGATTCAGGGGAAACCGGCCAGGGGCGGTCTTGAGTCCAGGAGATGGGAGTACAGGCCTGCACTCTGAAGGAGGGGTGTTTATGTGCAGTTTAAAAACTGTAGTGTAAAGCACCCTTCTGGCATGAACCGTGATGGAGGTGATGATGTTTGAAAGTTTTTTCTTGTTCGGGCACCCTGCCTTGGTGGGAATCGGCCAGTGTGATAATAAAAAAATAAAATAAAAAAATACATGAGTGGGTGTGGGTGGGTGGGAGTTGGACCTGACTAGCTTGTGCTGCTGGGTCTGGTGCCGTGCTCCTTCCTTGAAGTGGAGGTGAACCAGACTGGGTGGGTCATTGGGCTAATCCGGGGGGGGGGGGGGCATGGACATGCTCCGCATGGGTCAGTAGGCCTGGTTCAGTGCTCCTTCTTTCTTATGTTCTTAAGAAAAACCACTAAAAACAATCGTAAACAAGTGAAATGTTTGGATGTATGAGCAGAAGCTTCCTCAGCCACCGAGAGACAAAGCCAAACTGAAGTGCAAACTGCCCAGCCGGCAGATGGACACGTCCAAAACGGCTGATAACCGAGTGAACGGCTGATAACCGGGTGCCAAAAACCCTGCCGATAACCGAGTTGGCCGATAACCAAACCAGCCAATAACCGGAGGTCCACTGTACAGTTTTTTTGACCTCCTTATTAAAATATCAACAAGTCTACGTAAGGCCATGAAAGAAAATGGAGACAAAGGGGAAACTTTTTTCTGTACATCTTGGCAACTTTTGTAACTTGAAAAAGTGTATGGGGCTCCATAACACTCAGATTGTAGGTGAAAGTGCTAGTGCTGATAAGGATGCTGGTGAAATATTTCCTAACATTAAAAGAAGTTATTGAAAAAGGAGGCTACAGCGATGAACAAGTTTTTGATGTTGACGACACAAATTTGTTTTGGCAGAAGATAGTTTCACACACTTATTTAACACATTATAACAATGTTTTCAACAGCGCAGGTTTGCATAGCACAGAACTTTTTCCACACCAGTTAATCATGCAGTGCAAGGTATTTCTTTATCTGTACTGGCCACTATAGCTCACCATCTTAATACCACTACACCTCACCATCTGAATATCACTATACCTCACCATCTTAATACCACTATACCTCACCATCTGAATTCACTACACTTCTACCATCTTAATAACCTTACAACTCACCATCTTTATTCACACTACACCTCACCATCTTTTAATACCACTAATCCTCACCATCTTAATACCACTATACCTCACCATCTTAATACCACTACACCTCACCATCTTAATACCACTATACCTCACCATCTTAATACCACTACACCTCACCATCTTAATACCACTACCACTACCATCTTAATACCACTATAACCTCACCATCTAATACCACTGTACTTCACCACCTTAATACACTGTACCTCACCATTTTCAATACCACTATACCTCACATTCTTCTTACTTAACACCTCCACCATCTTGATACTAACACCTCACATCTCATACTAACACCTCACATCTTCATACTAACACCTCTCCATCTTCATACTAACACATCACCCATCTTCAAACAAACATTCTCACCATCTTACATAATTAAAAATATTGTTGTAAAAATTTTTTTTGCTTAAGCAGTTGTATTATAATTAGATTTTTTTATTCAAAATGAGAAAGAATGATACATGGTTGGTAAAATGAGGTGGGTTAGATTATGTCCCCACAGCCACAGTTTATGGGTTAATAAGAGTTATACAAAGTTAATGCCATTCTCTGCCCCCATTCTCATATCAGCCCAGAGGTCCCTTTCTTCACAGGTGCAGGAAAAACATGGCAGTGCTGAGGACCGCATACAACGCCTGGAGAACCAATTAGATGAGAAAGGAGCAGAGCTTCTACGATTAAATCAACGCCTTAAGATGAATGAAGAACATAACTCAAGATTGTCAGCCCTGTTGATAGTTATTACAAATGGTCAGTTTAGTAACTAGCATGACATTGTCTTTATAGTACACATAGTGCCCACAAAAATAAACTGGACCTTCCCTTTATTATTACAAAAATCATTAAAAAGCAACAACATAAACATTATAGAGCAAAAGCTGTAATACCTACAATAATATTTTGTCATCTCCTCTTTGGCCTTGATGACCATTGAAAGCTGTTTGATCATGCTTTCACCAGATTCCTGAAGTAATCAGTGAATAACTGGTTGACACAAATGATCTTGATCTCCTGCTGAAGGCACAACATGGATGAAACGTATCAGGATTCCATCTTTTTCTTGATATTCCAGGCATTCTCAATAGGATGAGGTCTGGACTATACTCTGATGCCATTGTAAAACCTCAATATTTTTCTCAGCAAGCCACTTGGTTACTTTTTTGGCTTTGTGACAGGGGGCACTGTCATGCATAAAGGTGTTGCAACTGTGATTTCAAAAATATTCAGCAGGTGGTCCTCAAGAACTGTGATGTAGCAGCTGCCATTCATTGCAACATTTTGGGGAAGGAAGTACATTTCATTTAAAGAAGCAACCCCAAACCTTAAAGATGTCGGTAGTGTTTTACAATGACACAGTGTGTATGCGGGATGCATCTACTGATGGATGAGGGGTGTCTCACAGCTTTGATGACCGTGAATGCTCTGAATATGGATTTATCTGACCACTTTGCGCTTATTTCCTGGCCAAATGCAAGCGTTCCTTCTTCATACAGGCCATGAGTAAGTGTTTCCATGCAGCATGATGACTGAGCAAGTGGAGGTCCTTTTGCAGGTAGTGTTGATCAAGAGGTCATTCAGGAGTTCAGGATGTGTGTGCAGTTTTAGGTTTTGTAGTGGCAACAATGCCTGGTAAGAGGCCAGGAGGCCAGTAGCTAATAATGCCATTCTGCTGGACTTTGCTCATCCAGTATGTTAACAAATTTCCTTTATGGTGACTTTTTCTTGTCTCCAAGCCAATATATAGGCTTTTTCCTCACTATTCATCCTCGAATGGCCCGTATTTATCCTCCTGGCACAAAATTGCATGGCACTAAATACCTTTAAATCCTGGGCACTTGTGGTTAGAGCAGTACAGCAGAACACCTTCTCTCATTAATGTATCCAGACACACTGAGAGGTGATACATACTGCAGGCTCATGCATAGCTCAGAAAATTGACAGATACCTCCAGAAAACATTCAAGTGAAGTATTCCATCAAATATGTAATACAAATCCAGATCACTTTATACTGCTTATAATAGAAGTAAGTTCAGATTATTTTTGCAGGCCGCTGGCACTCATTGTATACTCTGTACTCAACCGTTGCACTCCTACTTCTTCTTTCTTCCAATGCCACCGGCATATCAGCACTGATGAAGGGTGGCCGACCGAAAAAAAAGAAAAAAACAAAAGTTTCTCTTTTCAACTTTAGTAATACATACAGGAGAAGGGATTACTAGCCTCTTGTTCTCGGCATTTTAGTTGCCTCTTACAACACGCATGGCTTACGGAGGAAGAATTCTGTTCCACTTCCCCATGGAGGTAAGAGGAAATAAACAAGGACAAGAGCTAGTAAGAAAAATAGAAGAAAACACAGGCAGGTCCCACTTATACAGTAGGTTAGGTTCCGGGCTACTGTTGTAAAGGAGGGTCCCACTTATACAGCAGGTTAGAGTGCAGGCTACTGCTGTAAAGTAGGGTCTCACTTATACAGCATGTTAGATTCCAGGCTACTGCTGTAAAGGTGGGTCCCACTTATATAGCTGGATTAAAGTTGAAAAAACTCAGATTCAGGAAGGATACAGGAAAGCAGTGGTTTGGTAATAGAGTTGTGGATGAGTGGAACAAACTCCCAAGTACAGTTATAGAGGCTAAATAAGTTCGATAAATACATGAATGGGTGTGGGTGGGTGTGAGTTGGACCTGACTAGCTTGTGCTACTAGGTCTGATGCCTTGGTCCTTCCTTAAGTGGAAGTGACCTGACAAGGGGGTCGTTGGGCTAATCTGGTGGGGAAGGAATATGGACCTGCTTTTGCATATGTCAGTAAGGCGGCTGCAGTGTTCCTTCTTTCTTATGTTCTTATAAGTTCTGGGCTACTGCTGTAAAGGAGAGTCCCACTTATACAGCAGGTTAGGTTCATGGCTTACTTCTGTCACTCGTAACTGGTGGGGGTTAGGTTCGGGGGCTACAGCTGTACTTATACAGCAGGTTAGGTTCTGGGCTACTGCTGTCACTTATAGAGTAGGTTAGGCTCTGGGCTACTGTTGTAAAAGTGGGTCCCACTTATACAGCAGGTAGCGTTTCTGCGGCTAATGTGTAAGGGAGGGTACACCTTATACAGCAGGTTAGGTATAGGCTACTGCTGTCACATATACAGCAGGTTAGGTTTCTGGGACTGTCTTCTGCTGTCACGTATACAGTAGGTTAGGTTCTGGGCTATTGCTGTCACTTATACAGCAGGTTAGGTTCTGGGTTACTGTTGTAAAGGTGGGTCCCACTTATACAGCAGGTTAGGTTCTGGGCTACTGCTGTCACTTATACAGTAGATTAGGTTCTGGCTATTGCTGTTACTTATACAGCAGGTTTGGTTCTGGGCTATTGTTGTAAAGGTGGGTCCCACTGTTACGATTTAATCTTCACCGTAACAATAGGGGCACAACTCCATTTTTTTTGTTAGTTTTATTTTATTATTTATCATTTTGTTTTATTGGTAGTTGGTTTTTGGGTTCGTGAATTAAAAATAACCACAAGCAAAATTATAATGAAAACTATAGAGCAAGAACCCAAGCTTACGTTCAAATTCTCATTAACAGGTATGTTACAATATTTTCAATAATAATTACTAATCTCACATTTAACTCTTTAGAAAGGTCTAGGGTATCGAAATGGTTAATATTTCATAAGTGACATGAATTACCAGACTTCAGGAAACTAATGGCAAAGGCAAGACAATAGACTTGGTTTAAAGTTTTAGTTTAAGCTAGAAGCTTTGGGTTGAAGCCCGTACGAGTCAGAGCTAAGGAGCTGACTGACTCACTCAACTTACTCAATAGTATGACTTCAGCTCTGCCAGAAGGCGCGCGTGGCGGTCAATTCTAGAACCAACCAATTGGTCACTACAGGTAGTGGTTACACATTCGTAATACCTAACCTAATAATATATACATGTAATATTATAATTATAATAATCTTGGGGAAAGATATAATACATATTATACAATGAGAGTACTTTGTTGTTTCATACTGTAACGATACTAATATAATGTATAGTCGAACTGCTTTATTAGCTAGTAATAAAGTGGTTCGCGATATATTATTTACAGAACTTATTTTAATCAGGGCTTTTATTGTTGTATATGAAGTGTAGTAGGGGGCGTAACACCTCCCCCCTCGCGACTGTCGGTCACCATTGACTTGTACTCTCGGTGGTGAGTAGCATTGTCCATAGTTAGCAGAGGTGGTAACAGAAAGAAATCCTACATATCTCCAGGTTTCTCCACAAACTTAGCATGGTCTTATAAAACGTACCGACTCGTACTGTTAAAATAAAGGTATTTTATAAAGATGCATGGCCTAGAGAGGGCATCAGCAAAGAGGATTCTGCTATCCTTTTATATGGGAAATGGTATGTAGAGAAGGGTTGAATTTCATAGCCCAACGAAGTACTTTCTGCATTCTTCATTTCATAGTATTTATGAGGTCAAAAGGATTTGTGATTGGAGTACACCGATATCTGATGGGGGAGAAGATCTAAATTATACATCAAATTCTATAGCTACCAACGAGTGCTAAGGCTTCTTTTCTATAGTTGAATAATGAATTTGGTGTTTCTTTAACTTAGAAGAAAAATAAGAAACAGGTTGTATAGGTCAGAATGTGGAGCTTTGTACAATACGCTCCCAAAGCATACGCACTGGCATCTATTTGTAAGTGGAATGGTTTATTAAATTCATAGACTTCGCATTAATGGGAAAGAGGATAGTAATCTTTTTTAAACAATTAAACGCAATTTCCAGTCCTGGTTCATGATAACTTTGTTTTTGACCAGTTAATTCAGTTTGGGGAAAAGCTACCTGTGCAAATTCGGACAGAACTGACGTAGTAAACCGGCAACTCTAAAATCTTGATACACTTTTCCTATCCTTAGGGGGGTAGGAAATTCTAGAGGGCCTTTTTTTTGGCATTCAAAGGAGCGTCTTTGCCTTGTCCCAATCCGAAAATCCTAAGTATTTAATTTTCGTCTGGACAAGCTCCACTTGGACAAATTCACTGCTTAATTATGTTTATCAAGGCATCAAAACAATGGCTTTAACCCTTTGAGGGTCAACAGGCCCTATCAGAAACTCGTTCTCAGGGTCGGCCAAATTTAAAAAAAAAAAAAAGTATTTTTTCTTATGAAAGATAGAGATATTTTCCCGATCATTATGACACAACAATTATGTGATTTTGATGGGAAAACTTATGAATTATGCTCTCGCGAAGTTAGGGTTCAAGCGATGTTTACGCATTGGCGATTTTGCCCAATTTGAGCTTTTTTTCGGCCTATTCCTCTGTACTATGTCGACAAAAAAACATTGAATATTCGCTAGAACTACATTTTTTCTATTGCTAATGAGTGCAAGAAACCACCATTTACATTTTCAACTATCCAATACAGATGGTCAGAAGAATTTAGCATTTTGCCAATTTTCACTACAAAATTTCAAAATAATGCCAATTTCCGAAAATAGGATCCTGAACAAACAAGAAATACATTCCTGGCACTAAAAGACTTTCTTCTGTTCATTAGTCACAGTCTCAAGGGCCCTCTTACATTCTTTTGCTTTCCACTTTGAATTTTTATTCTCACGAAAAATAGAAGATTTACTGTTTTTGCAGACTACGGCATTAGTGTAAAAATTAATAAATCATATTGGCGACTTGCAAAAGAATGTTAGATCACCAGTTGACGTGTATTGGAGCTTGGCATGATTTGTTTTACTTTTGAACTTTGGTAAAAATCGAA